GTACTGGATAAACATTCTCTTTCCCATCCTTCTCCTTCTTCCCTCCTTCTTTTTTTGCATTTCCGATCATACAAAGTTCTCCAGACATTATATATTTTTCGCCAAAAAGTGGGGGGCCCGGCCCCCCCGGCTCCGCCGCCCATGTAAGACAATCAGTAACAAAAAGAACCGAGACAAATTTGTATGGTTGGTTGTGCGTATTATAATCATATATATATACAGGTGAAACTATCCCCCGCCGGACATCATTCCAGTATGTCTGAGTCAAGGTTTCGGGGCCTAAATTTTTTATGTTACTAGGTAGGCCTAACAATCGGGTACTAAAGTAGGACTTTTAATGATGATAGGCTCTAGGATAGGCCTAAATTGTAGGCTAGATAGCCTTTGTTGAAAGGGAACTTCATGAAAAGGGGGGTTCGTTCGAACACAACGAACCCCCCTGGCTACGGGCTTGCAAGACTAGCAGTAATAAGATGTTAATAAAAAAAAGTTGGTCTAAAATCTAGCGGAACCCAACATTTTTTGCGGACCCCTTTGATTTGGCGGACTCCCAATTATTTTTCGCAGGCGGCCAAAGGCGTCCTTGGACCCCAGGTTGGGAACCACTGATCTAGATATATTGATAATAAATAGTTAATTGTTCATAGTATGCGAGTTCAAGAGGGCGAACGATTCGAGGTTGTGTAAACATTCAGTTGTAGCAGACGGCGAAGTTCGCCACTGTCGCGTATGCTAATAAACGGCCTTTTGTGTTCAAACGTGAGAACCTGTATCGCACTCTCATTGACAAATATATGTATATAGTATATTATTAAACATTAAATGTATGTGCTTGAATGTTAATATTATGACAATTATATGTTGGCCTATATTTTTCTTGTTACAATAACATACGATGCTTCATTTCATTTTATTCTAATTTTAACTGATAGCCATACTTCCAAGTGTGCTTTCCCACGGAATTGTTTTTATTCCAAGAAATGAAAAGAGATGAACTTGATTTTAATATTTAAATTATTTTTATTGTCTTTCGCCAGAGCTGCTGAAGTACAAAAATTCTAATATCTAATATCATGGAGGAGCATCAGGTAGTGCCAGATGTACTGGACAAGGTTCCAGCTAATGTTCTCGAAGTCAGATACAGTGACCTCGTGGTTGACCTTGGAACAGTGCTTACACCAACACAGGTAAATTTGTACACAACACTCGTTTCTTGAGCAAATAATATGATGGTGACTCCCAAGTCGTCAACACCAACAATTGATAGTCAAAATACAGCACCTCAGTTAAAGAGGACAACTTGGGGACCAACAAAAGAGCCCCCTATAAAGGGTGTCACCTGGATAGGCCAGGGAGATGTAACCTTATGTCACTGCGATGAATCTTGCATGGGAAACAACGCCCTTCCGTGGCAACAAGTAGTTGGCATTCTTTCTCCTTGTGGTTAATCTGCAAATCTGTATTTCCAGTGCAAATGTACGCTTTGGAAATACATTCAACTAAATCCAAAATACTGGTTGTATCAACTACTTTATTATTAAATCCCTTCAAAAGCTGGGTAGTTTTTGGTATTTGTACACCATTTGAATATGCATCCCAATCACTTCCATTAAATTTTATGTATTTAGAAGCCTGTCCACTAAGCGATACTGATGCAAACATATGCACACCTTCCTGTTCCCAATGACACAGTTTATGAGATGCAATCTCATCCCAGTTTATTAGAGGCTTTGCTGTATCTTCCTGATTATTTGATGAAAAATCTACAAGTTTAATATTTAGGGTAGCTTTTTTGTTTTTCTTTGCCTTGTCCCACCACCTTCTTAATGATCGTACACAAGACGTACACACAAATTTTGGATGGTAGTCAACATCTTTGATTACATTAATACCAAATGCTCGTTCTATTTGTATAGCAAAATTCTCTTTCTGATAAGGGCTTCTATCCAAAGGAATGGCATCAGAACCACAAAGTCGACAAAGTCCTTCCATCTGGCCGCTATAAAAAAGAAAAAAAAAATCTTAGTAATAGGCCTAGTATATTAACTTAAGCAGGATTTTATAGGCATATTTTACAAAAAGAAAAAACCAAAAAAAATTCAAATTTTTACTATCAACATCCAATGTTATAACTCGGTATAAATTCTTTGATCGATGATTTTAATTACGCACATCTACCTGATGCACTCATGCAGGCCTGACGTTGCTTTTTAATATACTAGGTCTATGTTTAACATTATTGCCAACTTAAAAAAAGGAACGCACACTAGAATAGAGTTAGACAAGCCATTTTTAAACCAGGAAGATGTATTTTTACATCTCCCTGTTTAAACATAACTTTGTTGTAGCCTAGTAGATAGTATAGATAGTAGTAGTATTATTATAGTACTAGGCCTAGTACAATAATAAATAGAAGGCATCTTATTATAGGCTAGTCTAGAAGCTAGGCTGGTTATGCTTATATGTCTGCGCCGAGATAAAAAAAAAAAAAAAAAAAAACTAGTCTAGGCCTACAACAGTAGTCTAGACTAAGCTCTATCTCAGCCGGGCACCATGGAAAACACGACTGTGTGTTTTATTTATCATCTTACCTTTTCGTCCCAAAAAATCAGGTGTCGGGCGATGGCTATTCGATCCGAAATATTAAAAACAAAATGAATACAAAATAACACATCGCAATATCCAAACAGTCTACTGCTCACCTAATTATCGGGAGAACACTGTCGACCTTGGTATGTCTGAGTTGGTATTTTCGCGGGGTTTCAATTCAACGTCACTGCGCATGTACAGACTGATTATAACAGCAATTGCGCATGTAAAAATATTAATATTATTTGGTGGTTTGCACATCTTTTCTCAAGACAAAATATTACCGATAGAGGGCTGAATTTGGACGGTGGATGCCTTAGGTTTCAAAGAAGATAAGAAGATAACGCGAACGGGCTTCGTAGCCGCAGGGATGATTAAGCGACCTTCCGACTTTGAAGAAACCATTATAGTGCACTGCTTGTTAATTGATTCACAGAGGGTAGCCTTCAGCTAAGTAACTTCGAGCTCCCTCCTTTATTTTTTACATCTCCCTGGATAGGCGTTGACTATAATGTTAAGAGATGTCTTGTGGTCAAAACATTATCCCTTTAATGGGAGAGGAGATTTTTGGGGGAGGGAAACCTATTCAAAAAATACTTAATTTTTGTGAGCAACACGTCCATACGCACAAAGTAAATTATGATTAAAAAGATATAATCTGCTTTTCCTGCAACAGGTACAGAATCCACCAACGTACCTGAAGTGGGCAGCTGAAGAGGGCGGTCTTTATACCATTGTAATGACTGATCCAGATGCACCAAGTCGTCAAGATCCAAGAGTTCGTGAGTTTCACCATTGGATGATGGTGAACGTACCTGAAACTGATGTATCTAAGGGTGATACATGGTCTGAATATATTGGATCGGGACCCCCAAAGGGGACAGGTGAGAATTCCATTTGTTTATATTCAGAGTTATTGTAAACCTCATATCTTGACTAGACTCATCCAAAATAATTATCGATAAAGCATTCCAAGTATTCTTGGTTCAAATCCTGTATACCTAGATTTTGTGATTAGCACAGGAACAGAGAAGACACGGCTAAAGTTGTTAGTCACCTTAACGCTATGGCACATTTTGAAGATTGCCATCTACGCCTTAAGATGGTGTCCATGCAAATTGGATTAGACAAGAATCAACACTTCATAATTTCTTCATAATTGTATAGAATTTTACCAATGCCTGTTTCAAAATTTATCTTCGTTGTAGTTTATTTTTTTTCTTTTTTATAGTCAGGTAAATGACAATTATGCACCTTTTTCCTGTCTTCAGGTTTACATAGATATGTACTAATTGTTTACAAGCAGCAAGGAAGGATAGTTCCAACAGAAGACAAACGCAAGAAAAGCACTGCAAACCGAACAAGCTGGAGAACACGAGACTTCGCTAAAGCCAATGCACTTGGGGATCCAGTCGCTGCCAATTTCTATCAAGCAGAATATGATGATTATGTCCCGAAGTTGCACAAAGAGCTTGCTAGCAACATAACACAGTAAAAAAATTATACTTTTTAGTTACCTACTTACTGCATCAATAAACCATTGGAACACAAAACACAGCAATGGTCTGGCAGCATCAATACCCCTAAACTTCCCAGGGAGGAACATATTAATGTTATTCACCCCATGATGTTTTCCTGACGGAAACTCGCATCGAAATAGCATTTGCAGTACTGCTACTAGGGGATCAGATTTAAACTATACACTAAGCGTAAGTTCGGTAATATTGTGGTTATAGCACCAGGGTCATCTGGGGGTCGTGTGTTCGATTCCTACCCGAATCACTTGCGAATTTTTTTTTTCTCAAGTATTTGGAAACGTATTTAGTGTTCGTTACGATAACACGTCAGCTAGGGCAAAACATTAATAACATACATTATTCGTTATTTATTTTTATTTATTTCCACATGGGGTAACCTGATCAGTGCAAGAACATTGTTATCCTCCAGGGCCCAGCAACCGTACATAAAGTAAAATATAATCAAATGATAAAAATCGAAAGAAAAGTACAAAGACTGTAAAAAGCCTACTACTAGTAATCACTCCTCATACCACAGGAATTCTCCTCTTTTCCTTCTTTATTATTGTTGATTTTCTATATTCTGTTTTTCGATATTTGTACTGTGTTTTAGTCGTGATTATTTATATGGATTTATAAGAATTCGTTTCTCGTACATTTGTTTTTGCAAGACCAATAAAATGTCTGTATGCTCAACCTGTATCATGTGTTCTGTATTTCTATGTAGTAGTGTGAAGGTGTGCACCGTGTGAAGGTGTGAACCATGTGAACTGATGAACAAGATGTTAACTTGCAGAATTACAGAGGGCAGCAAACACAAATATTATGATGCAGTGGCGTATACAGAATGTGGGGGGGGGGGGGGGGGGGATGGGTATGGCCGTGGCCCTCTGAATTTTCGAAAAAAATAATTTAAAAAAAAACACCCATGGGCGGATTAAGAATTGTTCAAATATTTGCAGAATAGATAAGTGAGTAGCGCTTATATTCAATACATAACATTGATACGCATTGAAATTTTAAAATTTGGTGGTAAAACGTTCCCCATTCCCCTATTAAATCCGTAAGTTACTGCTTACACATGGGATCAAATGATTATTTTAAATACAAATTGAGAATTCAATCATTAGAAATTATTATTAATCATGTAAGCATATCATTTTTTTTCTAAACACGCCGAATTAATCCAGTAGCAACCATCCATTCCGACTAACAAGTTGAGAAAATGAGCGAATGCTGCACTCACTTGGCCGAGAGCCAAATTTGTAAGCTTGGTTTTGGTTCACGCCCTCGAACTTTCCAAATAAGGAAATTTGTCAATGAGAGTGCGATAAAGGTTCTCACGTTTGAACACAAAAGGCCGTTTCATTAGCATACGCGACAGTGGCGAGCCTCGCCGTTTGTACGGTGTCTGCTACAACTGAATGTTTACACAACCTCGAATCGTTCGCCCTCTTGAACTCGCATACTATGAATTCTTCATCAGCCAGATCGCTTTTTACTACGTCGCCGTGGAGCGGTACTCACGAGTGCTGTTTTCAACAGACTATTGTGCCCAAAATGATGAAAAATCGTTTCGGAAAATCGAAGCATAAAAGTAAGTACAAGTGTTAGAATGTAATTATGTCATTTTTAGTGAGTTTATTGTATAATATTTTGATATTTTATCAAAACATGTTCAATGTTTTGGTTTGATAGTGATCACGTGTCCGGTTGGTTGATTTTGGTGGCGTGATCCTCCTCCCGCGTAGTAAATAGTAAGCTGATGATGGTCAGTCCATTCATCAGGGTTTGGTGCATCTTTTGGATTGTTGCATCATAAATAGAGGTCTAATGTATATACATATAATTCTCCATATTGTTAATTAATATTGAATATGTTTAATTCATGTCAACAAATTTGTGATATTTTCGCAATGGTTCTTCAAATTCAATTTTTCAAAACCCCTCTGCGACCTAGCTAGGCTGATCCATACATCACTGAATCGTACGATATCGTATTTGGTATGGGCGTGTTCATTAGGCAGAATAGGAAATGATGGCTTAATAATATAATTAAACCTGTTTTAGTTCAAATTTTTAAATTTTGTGTTCGCTTATTGCCCACTAATTTGTTTTAGATATTCATAAAAAATTATTAATCATTTCATTTCAATTTTTATTCGAAAAATTATTTCAGTTTGAGGATAATGTTCTTTGGATGTAAAATAATTAACTGAAATTAAAACATTTGTGTAAACAATAATTATGAAATCAAAGTCTTGTATCAATGTTTTAGTGCAAGTTCCAATATATTTCCTGCCCTTGACACTGTTCATAATTTGTTACAACCTTTTTGAATGGATTATATAATTTTAACAATGTATTAAATTAATTTGTTTCATTTTTTGTATGTACTGTATTATATTTTAATGAATCTGTTTTTCATTGTACATTTAAATGTTTTTTCTCCCAAGGGAGGTGAATACAATTTAATTTGAATGATGTGGTATATAAAAATAAAATTTGTTTATTTTAATTATTCAAATGTCATGACAAACATGTATATTGTGAATATGAAATTATGGATAATTTCCTTAATTATTTTATACCAAAATGGGTTATTTGATTATTATTTTATTTAGACTTTGAATTAGTATAGGAAATTGTTTTATTATGAGGGTGATCGTAGATTATTATATTTTTTGATTATTGTTTTATATTAATTTAATAATAATTAGTGTGTAATTTTATGTTTTTTTTTATATAATATAAAAAATTTTGTAATAATTTTAATATTTTTATTATCAACTGAGTGATTACTTTAAAGAAAGTGGATTGTGGTGCAGGGCAATTGTCAGTAAGTAGTAATATTTAAATAGCTATTTGAAATTAGAGGATGAAGAAAAACTAGAAAGATTAAAAGCATACTGGTAATATAATTATTCTGATGTTTAATTTGTCTTCATAAAATAATAGAGTTAAATCTTGAATAGAATATTTATGGTGGCTGAAAAATTCTGGATTGTGAAATTTGTCTAAGTACAGTAATTTGAGATTTTAAATGTACCTTAGCTAACTAATTAACAGATTGTTACAGTATGGTTAAAATTGTTGAAATGTTTAAAATTGACAAACAGTAAAAGTAAATTAACTCCAAATGAAACGGTAACCTTTTGTAAATTTATTTCTTTAAAGTACCAACATAAATGTCAGGAATAATAGATTATTATTATTCTTTCTTTTAGATTAATATTATTTCTAACGGAGTACAGTATACAGTTGTATTTTTCCAAACATACTTCCATAACAACAAATGAAATAGATCTGAATCTGATCCTAATTAAGGCCTAGCAATCCCAGACGTCTTGTTTTATTTAACGTTTGGCGGGCACCATAAAGTTGTCATTGTATCGTTCCACTTTATGCAATTACCTATTTGTCCCTTTTGTGACCTTTCTGTGACTCAGCCAGATAATACAGTACTATGATATCGCGTGACTATTTTATTCATGTGAGTATCATAATGAAATCAGTAAATACCAAATTCATATATATCAGCGTACCGGTAATGAAAGAAAGTGTCTTTTAAAAAAAATTAAAACTACAAGTTCATCAAGAACGTTGTTTTAAATGATAAAGCTATAGTGACTAAAAGAAACATTAAAAAAAAATTTTTTTTTTTTAGTTTACATTAAACATAACCATTTTTTACTTGCATATTTGTTGTTTTGATTTGCCAACACAGAAAGCGTGTATGATATGGGTTATTACTTTAATGTGAACCTTCTTTTACTCTCATTTTTTAATGATTTCTACCAACAATTTTTATAGAGATTTTGAGGCAGTCAGTCTATTCTTAGATTTTATATCAAATAAAATGTATTTTTTGCTGGGCCACTTTTATTGAGAAATTTGAGGGTTGTAGAAATGTATGATTATGAGAAAATAATGACAATTTTAGGGGCTGTAAAATGAAGGGGTTGCATTATTTCAGAATTTTGTGTGTTCTACAAATGTTTATTAGCTTGATAAAAGTAGACTTCACCTGTATTAAAACGAACTGTAGTCAAACTTTGAACTAGAGCCTTTACCTTTTGGAAGCTAAACTTAATTTTCCTTTTCTTTCTACTTATACAATCGCTTTTATTCTTTTCACTCTATTGTGAGTTACAAAAGCATGTTTTTAGTAGGGTAAATATTTCAAGTTGGCGATTTAGTCTGACCCTAGGCTGACTAAAATAATCAGCCTTAGGAGGTATCATTTTAATCGAGGTTTGCATGATTTACAGTAGTTGTAGTGCTGTTTGTAGTTTGTTTTAAGAATACGAAATGACGTAATTTTTAAGTTTTACCTCAAACTACGCCTAAAGTTTGTTTTAAGAATACTGGGAGGTATGGCTTCATTCAAAGTTCAAATTGGAAGTCAATACATCATGGTAAAATTGGAAAAAAAATGTGTCTTTGAGTAGGTAACAATTAAGGACTTATCAAATAGATGAATATGAAAGTCAAAAAAAAAACAACATAAGGACTTATCAAATAGATGAATATGAATGTAATAAAAAAACAACATAATAAAAGATAACATACAGTACAATAATTTTTTCTTTATAGCCTTCATAAACATTAACAAGTACAGAAAGTACAAGTAGAAAATATCAAGGAGGCTTTCATTTCCAAGTTTCATTTTATTGCCATGAGTAGAACAAGCATGACTTATGATTCAGAGTATAAAGCAGCCAATCAGAAGCTAGCTTTCATTTGGTGTGTAATGACACACCTTCTTCATACCCTTAATTCACACCAAATCAGATCTTAAGTGTAGTTGCATAAGTTTCACTAAGAGCTGTTTACACCGCTGAATATTGATATGATATTTAATATACTGTAGTGGCGGCGCTTTGGTGAGGGTGGGGGGGGTGCCGAATATCAACATAAATTTTAATTACTTTTAGAAAATTAAACATGAGCCTTATGTTATAATAATCTATCGATTGATTGAAAACCTTGCCCTATATAGTATTCATAAATGCTGTATCAAAAATTGTCAATTTAAATTTGTTTTATATATTTACTACAAATTTTTTGTATAACTTTACATTTTTATAGGTATTAGAATATATTTTTCATGGGCATTCCTTGACCATTGACTAGTACTATTGATCAGCAAGCACGAACTGCAAGTTACCGTAATGGTTGTAAACTACTACAATAGTGTCTCCCAATAATAATCAAAGCATGAATAGTATGGGAATATTTCAACTATTTCAATGTTTGTTTATTAAAACGTCCTATAAACAAACTTAAGGATTACCATGGATGGAATACATAGGTCTTCAGTTGGGTGTTCTCAAGGGACCAATCAGCATTGCACTAAATATGTTATAGATACTGTAGCAACCTCACCTTTGGTCTTACTCACCTTTAATCCATCAGTGTGTTTTGGACTGTATTCAATTTCATTCAGGTTTCCATCCTCTTAAGATATTTTTTGCTTCATATTATTTGGAATCCTGGATATTTAAATCACAAATGTCTGGGCAACAGTCAGTATTTATTTGGATTAGTTTCTGATAGTTATATAATTTGATTTTATTTAATTCATTTATTCAATCATTCATTCATTATTAATATCAACAAATATAGGAATTATACTGTAATCAATTTATCCACTTTACATTTCTATCAGTTGATTTTTGCAACATCATATTATGTAACTGTTTTTATTTACTCACCTTTTAAAGATACCATCTGTCATAAAATATGGCAAAACCACAAAGATTTAATCAAAACATTAAATTACTTAAAAGAAGAGTCAAGATGTGTATAATATAAATTCTTGAGTGTGTTTGTTTATTACACAAAAATATTATAATCATTTTCATGTAGTCATATAATACATAAATATAACTGGTTTGATCCTGCAAAAAGCTATTATGTTATATTTAACATAATTTAGGATAATTCTACAGACCAGTACAGTACTATAGTAATTATTTCTATTTATGTCTTAATAATCTTTTTTTTGTGTAGAATTTCAAGATGATTGGGAGAAAGCTAAAGAGCCAGTTGTTGAGGGTATAACATTCTATGTCAAATACCTAGGAATGTCAATGGTAGATAAAGCCAATGATGAGAATTGTACAGCCGAAGCAGTCAAGAAAATTGTCAACCAGGTAATATACTAACATTTAACACAAATGTATACAGTAGAATCCATATTAAGGAGATAAACTCAGGACCAAAAAAAGTGTCCCCTTAATAGGGGTGCCATAGTATTAAAGGATATACTGCCCTTCATTTCATGGCTGAAAATGTGTCCCCTTAATAGGAGTGTCACTAAAAATGGAGGGGTTCTAGTATATTAACATTTTGGATTTTTTATACCACATGATTAAATCCTAATTTACTAATTACTAATAATTGAAATGGATTACAACATCAGTTACCGGACAATTTATGGATCTATGCAAAGCAAAACAGTTAGTATTAATGCATCTGTTACTTAGGAAAATATACACGCGTAAGAAATTCAAATAATGATATTTTTTGTTCAGGCTCTAGAGGAAAAAGAAAATTTGATACGTAGTACAACTGATTTTTATAAGACACAAAAAGCATGTTTGACAAAAATTGGGTGCCGTTAATGACATACAGATTTTTTTAAATATTTAAAAACTGGGAGAAAAGGCGGAAAAGAGTGGTTACGTCCCTTTTTCCCCCATTTTTAATACTCAAAAATCTGTATCTCATTAACCACTCCCAAGTCTTTTTTCAGATATGCTTTTTGTGTCCTAGAAAATCAGTTGTGCATCGAAAAATTTGCTTCCTCCGGAGCCCGGTTTAAAACCTCAACAGTTGATTAATATCTTTTTATTGATCAATTAAAAGTGCACACTCTGTGTGCAGTAAGGCCAAGTAACAAAAATTACTTGTTTCCCGTCCCCGCGCGCATCGATTTTTGGGCCCGCATCGATTTTTTTGTTATTTGTTATTTTTCGAAATTTCGTTTTTTTGGTGTTTTTTGTTAGTCTGAAAACGCGAAATGACGATATATGACGCATTTTCTAGACTCAAGCAACGCAAAAAACCGCTCAAGCACGAAAATTGTGTGGTTACTATAGGTCGATTTTGACACGTTTCGAAGTTTACAAACGCAATTCCGTACGGAAGCAATCGTAACTGCGACTGAAAACGAGGCTATCTAAGAGACAGCGTGACAGCAAAACAAACGATTTCTAAACATGTGAAAATGTTGACAATTAAGTCGAACCGACTCTAATGCAGTTCTCCGATGTTTGTGGGCCAAAACATTTGAAGAAAGCGATGACCATTGTTTAATGAACGATTCTATGGTGCTATAAACTCAGCAGAGGAGCAGTTTTGTACGACAATGAAACGGTGAGTCACTTCTGGCCTAGTAGTACTGTAGTAGGGTAACTAAGTAGTACTACTAGGCCGCCTAGGCCTATATTAATTATTATAGGAAACCTGACTATATTTGGAATAGGTAGTAAACGTAAAACGTTCTTCAGAATTCTCCGAAAGGCAGATTTGTTACAAAACACTATTATGAACATATTTATTGAGCTTAAAACATCGTACAGGCCGATCTTTTTGTTCAGTCAATATAGACGCGATGAGTTAGGCCTAGGCTAGGCTACATAGCATAGGCATAGGGCCTAGGCTCGTAGGCCTACGTCGAAAAATCCTTACGTCAACTCCTGCTCACCATTATGAGCCATATGCCAATTTTCCGAGTGGATAGTCCGATCGTATGACCATTCATGTATCAATCAAGGCAGGAATATTATATTTCGCCTAAAGTAGCCTTGCATTGCACACTTTATTTGAACTTGAAGGACAGTCTTCTGATTCATGGACTTTTATTTCTTTGTCTAGCGCTAACTAGCGTCACAGACCCGTCTGACCCGGGGCACTTTCCCCTTACGGCCCGAACTCTTGGTGCCACTGGGGATTTGACTTTACTTTCTACCTTTCAAAATAAATGAAATGAAATGCAAAATTGTCACAAATGTTTTATTTTTTTATTTTT